TCTCCAGCTCTCCTGGAGCCCCTTCAGGCCCCGCCCGGGGCTCTCAGCCCTCCCCGGGGGCCCCCCTTCTCCAGGTGCAGGGGCTGAGCCCAGGGCGGGGGTTTTGGGGGGATTCCCCCTCTGGCAGTGCCGGATCGGGGCCCTGCTCCGGGCCCTCCCTCAGGAATGGTTTGTGTCACACCCAGCCCTCCCTCAGGAATGGTTTGTGTCACACCCCACTGCTGCTCCCTTCCCAAAATGGCCTTTTCCGAGGCCTCTGGAGGGCTCTGCTTTTTGTCATGGCAGGGCAGAAATTCCACGGGAAGACACTCCTGGCCTTTCCAGACCAGGAATGGCTCGCGCTGGGAAACCGTTCCCGTGACACCCTCGGGTTGTTGTTCCCAGAGTTTGACACCCTCGGGTTGTTGTTCCCAGAGTTTGACACCCTCGGGTTGTTGTTCCCAGAGTTTTGCCCCAGCCCGGGTGGTTTTTGCCACTTTTTTTGTCCAAAACCATCGTGTTTGTTACGTTTTCCCAGCTATTTAGGGCACGAATTCCCCCCCCAGGATTAATCAGGGGGATATTTAGGACACAACGACCCCCCCGGTGCTGCCCCCCCCCCTTTCCTGGGGACAATCCAGGATGGTGCCAGTGTGGGGCCTCCCCTGGTGCCGTGGGGTGACCCCCCCGTGCCCCCCTCCCCGTTCCAGGTGGGATTCCTGAAGATCCTGCACAAGTACGAGATCACCTTCCTGCTGCCCCTGGAGCAGAGGGGGGGGGACGTGTGTGCCCTCCCCGTCCCCAACCCCAACCTGCGGGTCCTCAGCGTCACCTCCCTGCCAGAAGGTAACGTGGCCCCCCTTGTCCGTCCCCCTTTGTCCCCTCCTGTCCCCACAGCAGCCCCAGGGCCCGTCCCGAGGTGGGCACAGCTGGAGTCGGGGGGTCCAGAGCCCCCCAAATTCCTCCCTCCATATTCCACAGGGGTGGATTGGATTGTTGGAATGTTCCCTTCCCGGGGGGGGGGTGTCTCCAAATCCCAGGAATTGTCCTTTCCTGGCTCACAGGGACGGGGGTGTGCCCAGCCTGGGGGTGGCACGGGGTCCCAGCAGTGCCCAGGGTGGTTGTGCCCCCACTGGGACCATGTCCCCGTGGCCTGGGGGAACGGGAATGGGGGGTCCCTGGGATTTATAACCCGGAACTGGGGGGGTAAAACCCTCTCTTGGCCCAAAATCGGGCTGCTCCAGG